ATCTTATTGGCTCCAACGGCACCTATATGATAAATTACATATATAGTGCTAGCGAATATCTTTGATGTATGAATTATATATATCATTGAATGGGAAGAAATAAACCAAAGTAATTTACTTGGACGAACTGAACTATAACCACGTGTATAGGAAAGAGAAGAACAAAATATATTGTATAGGTTATCTGATATTCATTTTATTCGTTTCTGACAAAAATGATAAATGCATCGGTTGTATGTTCTCTTCTCACAGAGAAGTTTTCTCAATCTACAGGATCGAGAAAAATTAGTCTTCAATCTCCATCAGCACGTGAAGAAGAGGTTACCAATCATTTAGCTGAATTATTAAATACAATTATCAACTGTCATGAGTTTACTGTAGAAAGTGAAATTTCTCTTGATTACATTTCCGGTGATTTAACCGAAGATGAAATTGATCAATATGCTGTATCAGAAGACTCTGAATTAGATCCTGATTTCAACGACACGGACAACGACGACAGTGATGGTCTTCTTCAAAAATTTTCTTTAGATTATATGAAAAAGGTTATTGAATATTATGATGAAAGAAATCCGTTGACAGGAAAACGCCGTCGGTCTTGGAAGGGTGTGAAGCGTCGATTTAAACGTGTTACACATTCATCATATATATCTCGTTTTCGTGCTTATATTGAAAAGGGAGGAACGAGAACGCAAAAATGGGAAAATATTAATAATTATGTGTATCATAAATTTGAACAAGCTCGAGAATCTAATCTTCCTGTACATGATCTCGACTTACGTCGCTGGGGCTTAGAAAAAGCTAAACAAGAATTATTCCATGAGTTTACTGCTTCCGAAAAACGGTTGTTTAATTTTAAAATAGAGCACAACATATGCTCGAGAAAAGTAACTAAAGTGAGTAACTTATCTCTACTATTTTTAATAGAGTAATCACTTGTTTGAAAACTACATATTATCTATATCTACTAAAAAATTTATCTTTTTTGCTTTTTAAAAATTTGTTTCCGTACTTGTATAAAAATAGATTTCTTTTTCTATCATTTCACGTACCTTCAAATTTCATTCTACTAGATAGATGCTTCTTTATTTTCAATTTCTTATAATATTAATCGCATAGAGAGTATTTTTATCACTCAACTATAAATACAAAACCGTTGAGAAAATATGCAAGAAGAAAGCTTAAAATTCCTGTTTTATTGGACATAAAGATAAAAAATATTCTGCTTTAGGTAATAACAACCAAACAAGTAACAAGTAAAGAAGAAGTTCAACATTCTGCTGATGAATTTGTATCAACTGTACGAAATCTTTTACCAACATATAATCTTGATTATGTGATAAACACAGATCAATCTGGTATTCAACTTGAGTTTTATTCAACTCGAATCCTTTCTTTTAAAGGGGAAAGAAGTACTGCCATAAATGTTCGTTCGAAGAATGCGACCACACATTCATTTACCGTGCAACCATGTGTCAGCCTCAGTGGCAAACTTGTCGGACCACTTTTCCTTTGTTTAAAAGAACCCGCTGGTTATTTAAGTGAAAATGTTTGAGTAAGATTCTCACATATAATGATCTCTTTTTTTTCGTATTAGTGTAGTTCGAAAAATACATCCTGATTTTTATTAAATATTTCAGGGTCGTCTATTCAAAGCTCCTAATATAGTAGTATCGTGTAGTAAATCCGGCAAACTCACAACTGATCTTGTGAAATTTTGGCGAGATAATGTCTTACTTCCTTCCATTGCTTCTCATCATACTCTTCTCATCTCTGACTGCTGGCCTGGTCAAAGTAATATTACAGGTATTTACGACAATATTAACAAAGTTTATCGGCTTGAATTACCTAAACATACCACCACACAAATTCAGCCGTTGAATTTATTTTACAATAATCAGCACAAATATATAGCTCGTCGTATGTTCGATCGAGCACTACTTGATGGTCTTGATATTAATTTAAGTGAACGTAATTCTATCATTCGTAGCCAATCTCTCATTTATAATCAGCTATGTGCTCCTGTTTTTCAAAAAATGCTACAGTATGCATGGCACGCAAGTGGATATATAGACGATCATCCCGGTTCTTTTCTAACTGTTAAACAAGTGTGCTTTACATTTCATAAAATTTCAGGCAATGGTAGCTGTTGTGAATCGTCTCCCTTTATTTGTTGCAGTTGGTGTAGAAATAACTTTTGCTTCCAATATTTCTTTTCTGATTATCATTTTCATCATAATTTATATGATTTATCTTAATGTAGTTGTTATGCGGCACATACATTAGCTATTTTTTCGTTTTTCTTCTTTCGGTACGCAATGCTACCGATACACATTGTTAAAATTAGGTCAGATATGAGAATGAATATACTATTGTGAAAGACTACGATTATCTTACAATTCTAGGAAATACTAGATGTAATGACATATAGAACGATATTATTACTGTCTAAAGTTAATAATTGCATCTTCTCAAGGTTGTCTGAGCTCAAATTCTCACATTGTGTCCTATATGACTAATACTATTTGTGACAAAAATCTTGGTTCATTTTCGTATGTATTGTTTGGCATATTATTTTTTGCTGCTACAATAACCCTTATAATTATGATAATAGAAATGGTCTAGCGCCTCAGAAACAAGCCAGAAACCCGAACGTTTTTTACCGTAAGCATAACTCACTACGGGCTACAAGATGCACGAAACCCTGATTGAAAAGCGCTCCCGCACCTTGGAAGGTTCCCTAGTCAGTCTCTTCCAGAAAAAACTATTTATTGATATAAAAACTAGGAGTAGATTTAACTTTCAATACATCATTAGAACGAGCACTATTTTTACTACAAAAATCATCGTTGAACGTGTTTTCTCACCCCTCTTCTAATATAAAACAAGCTAACAGAAAATAGAAAATGATGTTGCTCGATGGTGAAGTTGCAAGAACTTTTTTAGAGGTGTTTGCTTTTTGACTTTTCCTCCGTCTCAGATTCATTCTGGAAAAATATGTCTCATACAAAATTTGTAGTTCAGACTTTGCTCTTTCTAACAAAAAAAATTTGATTGATTCCGAAGTTGGTAATATGGTCTAACAGGGTTTGACATTTATGCAAAGACTTTTGCATCGCTCATTATTAAAAACGCGTATCAATTTTTTTTAACATATATTGTTTTTATTGTGTCTATGAAACGAGATTGACAATGATAAAAACGTACGTCAATTAAAACAGAGCAGCATACATATTCTATAACTGCTATTAACATGTTTTCAAATAACATCATTTATTTACACAATATTAATAGGTCTCTTTCTGTTAGTCGGTGGAATAGCCTTAAAAGTCTGTTGATCGAGAAAAACATTCTCACTAATCTGAATCACGACAGAATTATAATTCCAAGCCTTAAGATTTATTCGAAAAAAATAGGAGAAATATTTCGAAAATTTTAACCGCTGCCGCGCCGCGCCGCGACAGCCAAAGTTGATAAATTGCCGCTGCCGCACCGCTGCTGCTGTCATACTTTTAAAAATTCACCGCGCCGCTGCCACCGTGGCGGTCGCGTCGCAGCAGCGGCAGCGCCGCCATGGACATCTCTGATTCCAATCATTAATTTGATTCTGTGTTTTTTCATTTAATTTACGAATTTGTTTCTGTGTTTCTTCATTTGCTGTACGAATCTGTTCTTGTATTTTCTCTACTTTTTCGTTCCATTCATTAAGAATTTCTTTGTTCTTTTGTCTTATTTCTAAGATCGATATTGGTTCTGCTTCATCGTTATTTCCATCTTTGTTTTCATTCTAGAATATAAATATGTATGTAAATCATGACTTTTCTAAAGAATATACCTGATTAAACAAATTTTGACTATTAATAGGAGTTGTTGTTGTTATTGGTGGTGGTGAAAAATCAATGAATACTGAAGATCGTTGTATATTTAAACTAAATAATGGTACAAACTTATTTATGTATATATAAAATCGATTTATATATTAATGAAATTGATAACTATATACACTTACTTTTCCAAATGTTGAATAATTGAATCAGGAACTAAATTAGTTGTTGGTGGATCATATTGTGGAGATACTAAATTAAACAGATAATGAAACATAATACTTATTTATGAAGGTTTTAGTTCAAATAAAATAAAAATGTTTTCTGCTTTGAACTATTCAGTTCTTCAATGCATAGATCATTAAATCGCTCTCCAAAAAAATTTTAAAACGAAGTTATATGAAAATTTTACCTTCAACAGATTCACGTTTTTGTTCAACTAGTTGTTGTATTGGAGAGATATCAAGTACAGCATCTTCTTCAATTGGTATTTGTTGTATTGGAGACACAACAAGTACGATGTCTCGTTCAGTTGATGTTTGTTGTGGTAATGAAACAACAGATGTAAGATCAGGTTCAATAGGTGGTTGTTGTATTGGTACAAAATCAGATTCACTTGGTGCCTGTTGCATTGATACAACAACATGATTACTTTTGTTTTTTTTCTTTGTATGACGTTTTGGTACGGTAATATCTAATGGTAAAAATTATTTATTTGTTTAAAATAATGTTTTGATGTAAAAGATATTAGAAAAGCTTAGATTTGTTTTTCTATTTTCGAATAAGAATACGTTTCCTTCTCTATTCAATTAGTGAGTAAGACAAATTATAAAAATAGCTCAGTAAACTTTCTATCATTACTAATGTTAACATTGGTTAACCAGATGTTATACCGTTTATACACTATACATTTCAGCTAATGCTCTTTTTCATGGAAAGTATGCCATTATCTAATTAGAGAGTGCTAGTCGTCATGTTCATCGAATAGAGAGAATATTGTTCATATAGAATAGTGTCCCTTTAATTGAAAATTGATGGAAAATGAAACAGAAAAATTATTTAATTCAGTAAATAACAGATTATTTTATAAATTTCTGAATAATGACGATTTACTATTAGAATTCCTACGTGAGCAAAATTTAGTTAAATAGTCTGATCAAGACATGTTATTGTGGATCCTTAATAATTGATAATCCAAGAAAAGAAAATTGAAATATAGCACTGTAAAACCTAATGTTTGCACGTGAAAGTTGAATGACGTGCTATTCACTTACAACCATACATGAAATAGAATAGAACTATCATTGGTCTGGAGTTACGTGGTTGACGTAATCTTGTTAATCGTGGATGCAATTTTTTTAAATGTCGCCGAATAGTTGTTGATACAGGTCTTTCGTTTCCATTGATAACAAAAGCGTTCCAATTACGTGGCAAATATCTTAATATTTCTTGTTCCATGATGAAAATTTATTTAACTGGCAAGAAAAATAAATAAGTAAGATAATATAATTAATTAATTGAGCACACGAAAAAAGTGAACTTTCTTCAGAAATGATCAATAAATTAATATCATTCATATATACATATATATATATGTCTTTTCTGTCGATATAGGTGCCTATTGTTTCTTTATCATTTATTACACAATGCAGCGATTGAAGAAAGATTCACTATGGATTGATCAAAGTAAAATGGTTCAATTCGTTTAATTTTACATTGACAACTGATGGCATCTATTTTCGACGAAATTTTAAAAGTCATATAAAAACAAACTATAGCCATTTAAAGAGATAAAAAATATTGAAATCTGATAATTTTTACATGTGAAATATGACAGTGTCTTAGAAAGATGGATCTGAGTTTACTTTGAACATAGCGCTCTTTCTAATTGGTATGATTAATAATATATCACACTGTAGTTAATGAAGGTAAGATTTATGTCTAAAGTAAACAACTATCGAAAATAGGGCTTCTATACGATGAAGAGTCTATTGAATCACTGTTTGATTGTTGACATTTCGACACCTCATTGAATACGTGAAAGATCTGTAAACATGCATTTGATTTGATAGATGTCTATTGATCTATAAGCTCATGATTCTAAGAAAAATATGTATATTTTGATATTCAAATCACTCTGATTGAATAAAATTTCCCTAGTAAATTCTCTTATTTTTTTTTCTATTTATTAAACTGAAGTTCGCTTTGAAGTTAACGTTTACTGAGAAAGAGCATAAAATCAGAGAAATCCACTGTATCATCGATAAAGTTATCTTTCGCGTCTCTTAGCAAATACCAAGTTAATCCAAGACAAACTTTAGGTTTAGATCAATGTGAATATAAAACCAATATTCAAAAACTGTTTAACTTAATTTTAATGCTTCTTTTTAATTTAAATAAAAAAAAAACAATCAAAAATTATATATGTCGTAAGTTTATTTTTCTCGAACTGCAGTACATCGTCTAATTGTGATTGTAACATGAAATCAAATATTGAATGAACACGAACTAGGCGAGATACAAGAGTATTTATGTACAAACATAAAAAATATAGAAAACGATGTTCAAATAAAGATGGCTTTGAAATAATGGTGTGGATGACTATCTTCACTTTGCATCCACACACTTGTGACAGAAGGTGATTTTGTGCTGAAAATCGGAAAAGTAGCTATTTTTCTTGCGATAGACTTTAGAAATTTCTCTACTGCAACTCAACAGCTTGCAAAAACTTTTATTCAAATGTATTGCTTTGCAGAAAATTATTTTATGTATCTTCCAATATATTCGATAAAACTTTGTAACATATCTGAAACAAATTTTATTTGAGATTTTTTCTTACAAAAAAAAAAATTTTTTTAGCTTTTCACTTATAGTTTAATAGTCAAAAGTTATAGAAAACTTCGATGTGCATATTCTGAAAGAGTACAACATTCTGATTTTAATACATTACTTCTCGCTCTTTCCTAATATATTAAAATACACGAAAAATAGGAAAATATTTTGTCTAGGAAACTTTCAATCCACGCCTTACTTCGATTTAAAGCATATCGTTAAAAAAGAATTGTTAGTTTTTTGTAATTTAAAGTCATTCATAGGCTACATTTTCATTCTTTTAGAAAGCATATTGAATAGATATAATAGATGGGAATGTTTTTGATCACTAAATTTTTCGACTTTCATTTTGCATGACTTTTCTCAACAAAGGGTATGCATGTGAGATTTTTTCCACACCCACACGCGCACTCACGCCTTGACCTGTACCAACATCCACACAGCCACACTCAATAGGTGTCACATGGTCAAGTGAATTGAGTATATGTAACTGAATCCAATCGGATTTTGAAGTCATCATTTCTACAAACGAAAATAGATTTGTTGTTTTTCAAAAAATACACGGCGCCCTAATCACTAGTTACTTTAATCAAAATTAATCAGCTTCTTCATACACTTGCTTTAATTATATATTAATCTGTTTGATCTCTGGAAATAGTACTGAATGTGAATGAGACATTATATGTATCATGTAGAAGCATTCGATAAGAGAAAATGAAAAATCACAACTCGAAAAAAATTGGTGATCATAAATACTTTTTTTTCCCAATATAATTCATTTTACAAAAATCTGCCTGTTCATATTGATTTTGATATATGGAATTATTTTCAAATGAACAAAATCTCGGTTGCATATAATTATATCTGTTCTGTTTTCCGTAACTTTGTATTATGAAACAATAGTCATGCACAAAAGTCATACTGATGCTATGTATTAATTTTTAATCAAGTAGAACAATGAGGACTACGGGAATTTTCAGACTACGTTGAAATCTATCTCATTAATCCTCATAAAGAGACTTTTTTTTCTAAGAATAGTCAGTACACTTCGTAATATTCAACAAGTATAGGCGACGCGGCAGCACTACAAGTGGTAGCGATTAGCTTTCCAGAATATTCTACGCCTTCTGTTTATATTAGAGTAGGACTATTTAATTCAACATATATATATTCAATACAACTCAGTAGTTCATGTAGAAGAATTGACCCATAGCTTTATGATTTTGTTTATTGTGGGATCAGGACCAACAGCGTAATCGTAAATCGGCTTTTATCTCTCTAAGACTGACTGCATAATACTCAATAGCTTTGATTGAAGGGATTGAATTCCGATTAACCAACATTAAGGGAACCCCTCAGAAAAAGTCAATTTTAGTCGAACTTTTGAATTTTGTGATTTACAGCTGTTAGATAGATCAAAGTGTCTTCTCTCAAATGCACTATAGTTTATTTATTTTATGATGAAATCTAAGGATATTACATAGGTTTTTTCTGAACCTTCATATAAAGGAAAATAACGTTTTTTTCTGAAAAATATTGATTTTTACGTTTCCGAGCATCCCAGATTTTTACGTCATTTTAAACGCTAAAAAGCTGGGCTTGACGTCAAAATGAAGGCAAAAATTAGCTCTACAACTTAGCAGAGCCATGTTTTACGTTTTTCTCATAATGTTTATAAAAAATTAACTGTTCTGGACCTATTCTCTTAGGTTTTCCGTATTTCATCTGAGGAGTTTTCTAGGAACACAAGCTAGGAGAAAAAGTCGTAGCACCACATCTTGGCTACATTTGAAAACCAACTCGAACTTTCCAACATTTGAAATGGCAAAGAAATTTCGAACACACGAAAACCCAAACTTTGACCTATATTCTATCCTTATCATGTTATTCAATAGTACAACGAATATCAAGACAATTATAGTTAGCATCATCTATCGTGACGTATCTCTTGTATGAGAACAATTTAATGTATATCGATAAGTTCTTCGTTTGACATGTAATATATTTAAGCTTCGCCTCAGTTTTTCGTAATAATAGGAAGACAATATTTAAAAAAAAAAACTTCTTTTGCGTTTTTCTCGAAATTGATTTTTTCGGTATTGATTGAATTCCAAGCAAATTTTTTTTCAATATACTCCAATCTACAGAGTTGTAGTTTTCTTTGTTGATGAATACATGCATAATCTTTCAGCTGAGAGAAAAGAATTTTCTAATTGATCATCAATGCTAAAGAAACTCTGGATTTTCCAAAAAATCATGCCTAAGATTTCCAAAAGAAAAGAAGAAAATTTGCATGCGTAAAAGCCCTATTTTTGCAGTTTGGTCCTTGGAAATCTTCTAAACGGTAGGGTATAGAGGTGTAAATTTCTTTTTACTAATGTCACAAAATTTACAAGTTAGATTTTTAAATTTAAAACCAAAATGTTTGCAGAGAAAAACAAACTTGTCTAATTCTTCGAAATGAAAAAGACGATCAACCAGCTGCTAACAATAAATAGCTCAACAATCTAAAGAACGGCATCTCTATCGTCCCAGCTGACTGTGACCTTTGTAATTTGTTTTTTTTTTTGAAAAAAAAAAAGAATAGTTATTGAAATTTCAGACAACCTTTTTACATGAATATAAAGGTGAGCACACAATAGTCAGTAAACGAAAGATAATAGCAAAAACAAAATTTGAATTTCTTCTAAATTGTTTTGAGTAATAAAAAGTATTACACTGATCCGAAGCTTGTAATGCACTGTCAGATGATACAATACTCAAGTTTCCATATATCATACCCTTGAGAAAAATTCAGTGCAAGTGATCAAAATTTTTACTGCTGGAATATTCATTATCATGGAGTGTAGACAAAATAGACCTATTCAAAATTTTATTATTTCCTCTAAAAAATTGATCTTGCGTCGCCCATAGTAGTAAGTACTACGAAGTGGACTAATTATTCTTACAAATAAAGCTCTTTATAAGTAATAATAAAATAAACTTCGACTTAGTCCAAAATTATGATTTCTCAGAAAAATAAAATTTCAAAGCTAATTTTTTTAATTATTCAGAAAAAAAAACCAATCGTTACTACTTTTTCATCGCAAAATTTTCTAGAATAGAATGAATACAATTTGTATTATTTTGCTTTATATTCATTAGAATATTATCGTATGAGCTTGTGTTTTATTCTTTGCTTTCGTTATATCATATCGGTAATCGTTTTTTTTTTCATTTCTCTTAGGTTTTTTGTTTACATAAGTAGTGTTTATTGTGTTGAGTTGAAGGTTCTTCTAATGTAAAAAATAAATGAATCACAAAATTGAAGGATAGATAATATCTATCATTCAGTTATTTTTAGGGTACATATTGCTAGCTCTTTCACAAATATTTGTTTATGTCAATTTCAAATGATAATTGCGTTTTCTTTTTGCGTCGATATATTTGTCTTGTGAACGTTACCTTGATGTAGTAAGAGTAAAATTTCATTTGACTAGTATATTTCAAAATATAAGTACAATTTTTTGAAGATTTCTCTCTCTATTTTTTCTTTTAATTAGAATTGTGTTGATTTCTTATTACTTGAAAAGATAAACCAAATAGTCTATAAATATTTCATTTATTCGACATTCATATATAAGACT